GTCTGGCATAACGGACTCTTGTACAAAATGCTCAAACTGAGATTTCCACTGCCGCTTATAAAAACTGTAAGATCTTTCCTCAGTGAAAGATCTTTCGCAGTTTTTATTAAAGGTCAGTTCTCAGAAATCAAGGTAATCAAATTCGGAGTGCCACAAGGAGCAGTGCTTTCACCAACTCTCTACAACATCTTCACGTATGATGTTGTAAGAGAGACAACCAACAACATCGGTCTTTTCGCAGATGATACAGCACTGTATCATTCTGCAGAGAACTCGGCCGATATTGTGACACATCTACAGCACACAGGAAGAAAAGTTCAACAATACATGAACAAATGGAAGATCAACCTCAACAAACAGAAGACTCAAGCCTTATTCATCACAAACAGGCACTCCAGGCAACTACCAGGAAATAACATCAAATTTCTCAACGAAAACATCAAATGGGAAACAGAAGCTAAATATCTGGGAATGGTGATCGACAAGAGAGTGACATTAAAGCCGCATGTGGAGTATGTGACCAATAGGGCTCACACCGCATTAAGACAGCTTTATCCGCTCATCAGCAGGAACTCACAACTCGACGTACGAAACAAACTTCTCATCTACAAGCTAGCCATCAGACCAATATTCACATATGGTTGTCCAGCGTTTGGAAGCATGGCAAAAACCCATCTTCAAAAACTTCAAGTACTGCAAAACAAATTCTTGAGAATTGTTCTCAATAAAACAAGATATGAAAGGATCACCGATCTTCATACAGAAGCGAAAATACCGTCCATCGAAGACTACGTCGGAAAGTTGCAAGCGAACTTCAACAGTCGTCTTGCATCTCAAAACACCGAATAAATCAAATGAAATACAAAAGAAAGTATAATCCGTAAATGAAATCAAAATTAAGAGACAAAAGGCAAATTGAATGCCTGAAACCTTAAAACAAAAAGCAACAAAATGTATAGAAACTTTGTACATACTTAAATTTAAATGTAAATAAATAAAAAGTTTAATTTAAAAAAAAAAAAAAAAGATGGTTCTTGTAAGCTTTAAGAGCATTAATGGCTTGCTATCATGAAAAAATTGTTATCAATATGCTGGTTATATTTTGGAGCTCTGGAATTTTTGTTTATTAAGACTGAAGTTCCTGACTTGACTTAGGGTACCAGTTTAAGCTGGGAACTTTAGAGGATAAAAGGAGGTTCTTAAATTAAAGTTCTAAATTTTCATTTCAAGCTCCTAATCGAAAGTTAATTTTAAAACTTCTAAAGTACATCAGTAAGCATCTTAAAGAACATTAAATTGCTATTTTCATTGAATTTTCCATTACTTTAACGTTCCAGCATCTCTTTTATCTTTCATGTCATGTCACAGCACAAAGGATCATTTTCATTAAAACAGCTCATATGAGGATTTTTAAACCTCGCAATAAATCTAGGAAAATATCATCAAAACTTAACTTCCTCAAAGCTCTTTAAAGTAAAAAGTTTTTATCTTCATCCACATGTTCGCAATTCTTATGTTAATCCCACAAATATTATGTATGAAAATTTTTACTATGCTTTATAAAATCAAAGTTGCAAAGAAAGTTTGGCTTAGCAAAGCTTTTGTTAATATTCAATTGAAATTAAATCACAACATGAGATTCTCGAAAAAAATTCATTCATCATACAAGATTTTCCTTAGTTACTGGTTGCAAGTAATTTCCATGAGCAGTTGCTAGAAAATTTCATAGAATTCAACCTACACAATTCGCAGCAAATTATCCAAATGCGTTACGATTCATTGATTCAATATTTATTGAAAAAGAAAAGAAAATTGAAAAATCTTGAAAACATTTAAAATCTTGGAAAATTTCAATTTTGGAAGGAGGTGTTTGGCTGATACTTATAATGGTTGTTAGGCACAAACTGGGATCAAGAAGATTCTAGAAAATCTCCCAACCATCATCTTCATTTTACGACAATAGAACAAACTAGTTGATTGCGACTAGTGTAAGTATCAAGGGGATTTTTTTTAATGAAAAATAAAGTCTAATATTATGGAAACTAGGACTCTAATGAAAAAGGTTGCGACCCCCCCCCCCCCAAACTCCTTCTTAGTCAAACAAAAAAATCTATCTTCAGCATAATTCCATTACATTGTTGTCCACAAAACCAGCATAAAGTAACCACACTCAACAGATTCTTTCGAACCTTCTAATCGTTGAAAATTTAATCGCAATAAATGCTGAACTTTAACATATATCCACGATTCATAATTTTTTTTCTATATTGTTATTCCATCCACAACCACAATTTACTCATTCAATAATAAAGTTCATGATAAATCCTTCATTTTAATTACATTTACTGTTAACTTTTAAATTTATTATTTTCATTAAGTTTCTTCTTTTTATTTCCTGAATGTCCAATAAACTTTCACACAATTGCCCGAGCGACAGAATAGAAAATTGAAGATATTATAGGACAGGAGAGAAATATTTATTTATTTTTTTATGTATAAAAATAAAAATAAAAATTGCACCACACGATAATAATAACTCATTTCAAATGGACTGTGTCTCGATATCTGAGTAACGAAAGTAAAGTATCTCTGCAATTTTTTTGTTCTGATAAAAATAAATTTATAGCCTTTTTCAATGTAAACTGAGCGAGAGAAGAAGAATTTTATTTTTTTGCGAGAACGAGAGCGTGTGCTGTGTTGTGCATAGCGTGAAGGTTACAAAAGTGGATATACAGGATGGAATATAAATTCACTAAGATAAACATTGAGATGAATATTATTATTATTATTTTGTTGCCACTGTGAGACACGACACACGCTTCTTAAGAATTGAGCAGATTGATATTGGTTTTCCATGCAGTCATTCGTAATTTATCGGCTCGTACTCAACATCATTATGTGAGTCATGAAAGGAAATTTCAATATCTCACAGATTCTTCTTAATTCTGCGCATGTTCAGCACTCAATTACACTCTCAATTTTTCGTTTTTGCTTCTGTGCCTCTCTTTAGACTTGAAATCAACTATCTTAATAGAAAAAAAAATAGCCGCAAATGTTCGGTTATAAATTTTACAACCAGTTGATATATGAAAGCATACATATGTCTTTTCATGAAGTTTGCACACAGTTCGTCGTCGTTGCTGCTGTGTAGAAGGAAATTTATTTTTTTTCTATGGCAAGAAAGAAAAGAAATGAGTAACACGTGGCTCATCATCATCATCATCAATCCTATTCTAATTCTGTCTCTGTCTAGCAATTTTCTTTCCTTATGTACACAGCATACATATGTTCTCAAATTGCACTCATTACTTACTTCTAATGGAAATTCACTAGATGTGGTATTCTCTCTTTGGTGCTTGGTTAGATTGACAAGTCATAGTTTTAATTTACACAATGTTCATATTTACATTCTGAACTTGATATAGTTGAATAAGAAACTGCGATAAGTGCTTAGATGTGGATTGAGGACTTGTGAATTTTAAAAATAAGTTTTAAGAAAATTTTGAAAAATTAAAATTTTGAAAAATTTAAAATTTTGAAAAAGTTAAAAAATTTAAGAAATAAAAATTGAAAAATTGAAAAAATCAGAATAAAAATAAAAAATCCAAGGCGTGGAAACTCAGGATTAATCCTGAAAAATCCCGAAAAATCCCTGAACCAATAAACATGAAAATGTGAAATCCCTTTTAAATCCAGAAGTTATTCATCAAATGCATCAAGGATTTAAAAGGGATTTCACATTTCCATGTTTATTGGCTCGGGGATTTTTGGGATTTTTCAGGATTAATCCTGAGTTTCCAAGCCTTGGATATATCCAAAAATTAAATAAGCGTCTAATTCTCAAAACAGTCTGATTCCATCCCCTTAATGCCAATTATCATTTCAATTTAGAAACAAAATTTTGCAGTAAAACTTTTGTTTCATCACGTGGGTGATTGTGGGAATTTCCGAAATAAAATAACATTTTAGCAACGGAAACAATTTTAATTGTATAAACACTGACCAATGTGAAAGCGCCAGAAGCTTCATTTTAGCATTTTCTTACTTAACATTTGAGAATTTTCATGATTTTTCTTGATCATTGACTTGGAAGTTTAAATTGCTCAGGGTTACCAGAGAATGGCATTAAATGTTGCAGCCATTAATCAGTGCATCAGAAATCAAAGCTTTTATGTAACTTCCACTAAAATTTCCACTTCAAACCCATCATAAATTTAATGTTGCACCTCAAATTCAAACGCAAGAAAATCTATAAATTTCCACTTTATTTACGTTATAAACCCCAAAATCTGTAAATTGCGAAAATGCGTTTTAATTTTAGATTCAAATACGTCAAGAACTTTGAATAAACTTTGATTATCATCACTCATATTAATAATGCATCTATCATTATCATTATTTTTATAATTTTTCTGATATATTCCCTCATTTTCCATAAAGGAGTAAGAAAAATGAAAAGAAACTTTTCTGCATGTGCTGCCATAAAATTTCATTTTTATTGATCTCTGACTGCATGTATTAAGAATTCTTCTTATTATTTACTATATTCATGAAAAATGGAAATTTTTCTCATCTTTTCTTTTTAATAAATTTGTTCTTTCTTATTATTTCGTATTTGGTGGAAGTAAGGAAGGCATATTTGAGAGGGATTGGGGTTAGAGCGCATTTTTAAGGTTAAAGGGTCCTGATAGATATGAAACCCCTCAAAGAGACTAGGACCCCATCGAGAAATAAATTGCTGACTGTTAAACTGATGATATGTCATTTGATCAGTTTCACTGCCATCACCAACCCACAATGTGTCGAGTTATTTACAAAAATATTCAACATCTTCCCTATCTCTCTCATTTCTCTGTCATTCAACCTCTAATATTTATATCCTCAAATCCCCTACAGTACGCAAAACTCACACGAAGTAAGTGAAATCACACAGTATATTTCTTATTTCCATTTCTCTTAGTCATCCACGGGTTAAAAATCATTAAAAAAATATTACTCACCAAATTATTAAGGCTGTTTAAAACGGCTAATGGTAATCCACTACTATTACTACTGCTACTATTTCTCATTTGATGCTTTTTGTTCTGTGATGTTTGATCTGTCAAAATTTTCTCACTTGAGCCTTTCAACAATTCAGCGAGCAACTCAGGTGTCGCTGCCATATTTTTTGGCGTATCCGGTGTATTTAGCACAAAGGCCTTTTCAGAAGGTGTCGTTGAAACGCGAAGTTCTTCGTAATTTCGTTTCTGTATGAATTTATCGCTGTAATTCTTTTTTGAATGCTTATCACTTATGTCTGACGATGCTCGTTTTGGTGACTTTTGATCGACCGATAAGTGACTGTCAAGTGACAGCTTTTTTGGAACTCCTTCAGATCTTAATGAGAGATGATCACTGCCAACCATTCTTTGATCAATATTGCTCGGATATTTCTTATGACTGATTGGCAGGGGATCAGGTGATGGAGTTTCTATGAGAGGAACAGGTGATGAACCTGCTCGTTGATGCATTGGAACTGGTAAAGAGTCACCACCACCACCTTTACGAGCTTTAGAACGACTAAAGAATCCACCACTGCTCTCATTTGAATCAAGGGAGCAGTTTGACTTTTTGACACTAGAAGTGAAATTTTTAAGAACTTAAAAAATTGAGAATATGAAGCTATAACCTTCAACTTACCTGTCACTTCTACAAAGTTCCTCTAATATCCCATCATAATGAACTTTGGTCGGTTTCTTCATCTCAGCTTCAAGCATCTGCCCATATGGACCACGCAAGGGTCTTTTCGAATATCTTTTTAGGTCAGCATCATTGCCAGGTGCTGGCGACGAACTTATTCGATCTCTAGATGAGCCTCTGTCACTCTCATTATCAGAAATCGACTCAGATCTTGGAAACGTAGTTCTATATTGCTTATTTTGTGGCGAAAGGATTGATCCTTGGTCATCACGTTCATCAGAGCTTTGATATGTCAAGCTTTGTCGTCGAGACGATTTAGGCCAAAGTGGAGGTTTATTTTGAGATCCATACTCTGAATCAGGTGTGTAAGGCTCAGATCCAATAGATTCAGATTGTCTTTGAATTGTTGCTTCCGAAAATGAGAAATCAAGTCCATGACTTTTCTTCAACTTCCTTTCCTCGCTCGGTATCCTTCTTTGATTTTTTGGTGGACCGTAAATGTCCTCATTTGTAGCATATTCAAATGATGTATCTTGTGATCTCTCAACAGCAGGCCACTGTATATAAATTCCCTTCCGTCTTCGTGACTTATCAAGCTTCCGTTTATCATCTAAATTACTATTTGGTGATGCATTTGGTGAGGATTTGTCACTTCCAGAATTTGCGTCATTACTATGTCTTTTACGAACAGTCAATTCCGCAAATTCTGTATCACTTTTATCAAATGATCCTTTATCAAAACTTCCTGGTTCTGGCGATGACTCAATTGCCTTCAATAAATCAAATTTACTTCCGTCTGGCGTACCTCTATCACTCGAACTAAGTTCAAGGTCGGGACATATTAAATTCACAATATTTATGTTAGCATTTCCAATGGCATTTGTGAGAAATTTATGCTCCTCGTTCAAAGTTTCCGCGACAGTCTCAAGGACTTCTTGAATTTCAGGCGATATTCGTATTTCCTCCACACTCTCAAAGCTCTTTTGTGCCACAAGTTCTTCTTTGTTGCTTTGCGGAATTTGTGTTTTCACGACATTACAAACCTCCTCGTTTGGCTGAATGTTCTCCTTTAATTTCTCAGTAATTTCATCCAATTGAAGTGCAACATTATTCAGTTCAACTTCTGGGATAATTGGATGATGGTGTGGATGTACAATTGGCACATGTTCAATGTCTGATTGTGATTCGGTTCCATGTGTATCTATTGAGTCTTGTTTCTCGATACTCGAATCACTTAATATCTGTCTGTTTGTGGATTTATCAACAAGTGTGTCTAAATCAGAACTAATTTTATCATTAATTGAATTGAGACTGTCTACAGCATTAATATTATCCATTGAATTAAGGTTAGAATGAAGATTATCTAAAGATATGAAGTTGTTATTAGCACGAAGTTGATTTAGATTATCTAATGAGTTATAATTGTCTAGATTCATAAGGGCATTAAAGTTAGGCTCAAAATTATATTCTGGATTGAGATTTTCATTTGAGTCACTCTGCATTTCTCCATTTAGTCTTATTTCAATAAAGTTCTCAATTACTTTAGCTTGCGGTAAGACTTCCTCGGATATCGGTTGACAAAATTCCTCACCGCCATTTTCAGGCAAGTGTGTCCATTCCTTCTCAACACATTCAAAGACAGGAATTGGTATTAAGCATGTTGTGGCTTGTTGAAGTTGATCGAATTTTTGATATTTTGGTGATACAGACAAAAGTGGAGGTTCCTCTTCAATTAATGGTTCTAATGTCATTTCACTAGCTTGAACGACATTAAGTTGACTCTCTATGCTATGCTGCTCAGCTAAACTTTCAGCAATTGGTTCTTCATCTATTGTGTCTATGTCGGAGTTCCTTTTTGATGGAGATTCTGCTTGATCTGAAAATCTATCTTCAGTATCTAAGTTTATGCTACATTCTGACTTTAGTGGATATTTCTCTCTATCGAATTCCAGTTCACCTAATATTAATTGAGGACTTGGACTTCTTTCCATTGATTTATGTCTAATTGAATTTTTCAAAGCTTGTATATCTGACTTAACATATTTTCCTGATTTTGCATCAGCTTGTGAAAATGAGGCACTTCTAAATATGATATTTCTCTGTGTATACGAGCCAATAATTGTCCTCGATTCCGGTCGACTCAATTTCGTCGCAAGTTCATCATCCTTGGTTGACTTTTTCTCATTTGATCGGTTTAGCGCTTCTAAATTAGATGCACTTGTGTTTGGACGTAAAAGTTTTGCCAATTGTCGCGTCAGTTGACCGGAAAGTAAACTTGAGGGCTCAACAGATTTAGATTTTCCAATGTGCTGTAAATCAGGTTGATGCTCTGAACTTGATAAATTATCTACTGACGCTGTTGTACTATTTCTCTTAAATTTTCTTGGTGGAGGAATTGGAGCGATTAAAGGAAGTGGAGGTGGGACAGGCGGTGAAACTGCTGGCGGAGAAACTGATCGTGAACTTAATTTAAATGATCCAGTTTTATTGCCTTTAAGCTTCTCTGTGAGCTCTCGAAGTCTCTCAGTTTTACTACTTGATGGCTTACGATCGGGCGATGTTGAAGCTGAGGATGAAGATGCCTTGCGACCAAAACCAAATTTTTGTAGAGTATTTCGTCGACCTTTTTCCATTATTATCTGCAAAAATAACGAGACAGAAATAAATTGAATTTTAATTAGAAATGCTTTTTTAATTAACTTAAAATTTCAATCAATTAAAAAAAATGTGAATTTTTTCATTTCTCAACGAGCGAATGCAAATTAATGCACATATTTCATCTTCACATCCATCATACATTTATGAAAAAATCTCATCTTGATCTTTTTTGTTTGCCTAGGGGGGTTCTATGTTTGTGAAAATGGTAAACTAGTTTTGGTAGGTTTTTTTTCGAACTTAGTAGATGATTTATAGGTTGTTCTTAGCGTCTAGCATTTTAAGAGCCTTAGTACGACAAGGAAATGACAAATGTGGGCTCACTAGCTTAAATTAGCAATTGAACTTAGATCTCCTTAATTTAGAGGATTTAAAAGACTAGCTCGTGGAAATTAGCTTGTAGATTACAAGTACGCTCTTTAGGACTCGAACTTAAGACTAAAGTATCAATATTAATCAATGTTCATTTGCTAATTGAATAAACCACTGCTGTACACTGACAAATAAAAACAACTTTAGCTTTGGCTAATAGAGTAGCTTCAATAGATTTCATAAATCCAATTACCCCCTCAATTTCCGTCTAATTTCTCAGTTGGTTAAATAAACTTAATAATTTTTGAAGCGAGAATAAAAATTGCGGTTGAGTAACAAAAAAAAAGAAGAAGAGTAAAAGGAAAACAAATGGGATGACATTGAATTTAATGAATCATGCAGAAGGAAAGGAAAATAAAATTATGAAAAATCTACAATGTTTGCTAGTTCATGAGACATGCTCTTGGACGATTAATTGAAGGTGATTTAATTTAAATATTAAAGGAAATTTTCGAAAATGTTTTCAAGAGTCGCGACTGAAGGGATTGAGTAATTAATAATTTTGAGGCACATGAGAAATGGAAAGTGATGTAAAACCTTGACTTTTTAGTGTATTATTGATGATTTTATGTCGACTTGAATTTTAAAAGTCAATTTTGAGTTTTTAAGCTGATTATGGACTGCAAACTGAAATAAAGCTAGAGTAAAGCGAGCTCTTTATCCAAAAAATCTTCAACTCTGTATCAAAATTGACCATTAAGTCACTTAAAATCATCACATCATCTTAATCATCAATGCAAAAATCCCACAAAATATCACAGCTGCTAAATTTTCATTTAATGACCAGCACATCCATAAAATAACCAGTTCACACCCAAAAACCGCAATTCTTATATCGACCATTTATCTTCAACAGAACTGACAGCAAAAACGCGCATTTCTCACCAAAAACCGCCACTTTCACATTTGATATTGACAGCTATTGATTCATGCCGACTATAAATCGAATATATAGCATTGAGAATCTTTTTGGCAATAATTTGCCACTTGATTAATCAGAAATAATTTTTTCAACTCTTTCTTCCGTAGATATTTCACGGTGTTTTGCGGTATTTTACATTAAATTGTGGTATACCGAATTTAAAAAATTCCTTTTATCTCATTTTACTTTTACTTTTTTTTATTCATTTAAATATAGAATGAAGTAAATCGGATCTTTATAAATCATTTTGAATAATTTCCTTTTCCCCATTCCACAAGTTGATTTTTTCTCGATTTTTTTAATTCTTAAGAAAGAGTTGACTGTCCTCAAATGAGATTTAGTAGTTATAAAATTGAGCAGGGTGGGCAACTTGTGTATGGTATTTCATTAGGAGTATCAAGAAGTCTAGGTATAACTCTCTAAGATCTAGGCTAAGGTTAGCTCATTTAGCTAAGGTTGATCTATAATAATAATAATGTAAGCGTTACTACATTTAGCGACGAGCTGAAGGCACTACGATCCTGATCGACTCTATAATCTATTGTACCGTTAAGGTAGATCTATGTAATGCAATATTATAAACTCCATAGAAGTGCTTATCAACAATAATCCACATATAACAAGTGCAAATAGCACCAACAAAAGAGTTTATTTGATCAAATAAATCCATAAAAAATCTATGATCAAATAAATAATAAATGCGCGTCTTTGAGATCCCCACCAACTCAATAAGGGGCCGCTCACTTATGAAGTCTCCTAAATTAAAGGTCATCTTTCACAAACGAACAATAGATTTCCAGGATTTTATTAATCTTTTAATGCTAACCCCCCCCCCCAATAGACGTCACTAGTGAACAGCCCATAACTTAATTTCACCATTTTATTTTCATAAACAAATTCATTTTAAATAAATGTTATAATGCATAAATAAATTTTATCTGCTAAATAAAAAAAAATGTTTTTTCGGAACAAAAAGAAAAAAAGAAAATTCCAAATGAAAATAAAATAAAAATTTCCTCGCACGTTTAAAGCAAGAATGAGAAAGAAAAACTTTTTTTTCTGTATTAAATGAAAGAATCTTTTTCATTTCTCATCACTCGCTATGTTTATTTTGAATAATTTTCTTCTTTTTATTTTTTATATGTGCTGTATATCCCTCACATCCACATTTTCTGTCAGTGAGTGTGTGTATGAATCGGAAATTTTAAAACACTTTTATTAATAACGTTGATTTTGTTGTTGTTTTCATTTCATTTCACATATATTTTACTAAAAGTGAAAATAATAGAATTGAAGATGAAGAAAAAACATGAAAAAAATTTTAGTGGAAATAAATTTTCTTCTACATGAATAAAATCATAAAATATGTGACTGAAAATTAAGTGGTATCAGAGGTAGAGGATTGAAATAACTTAAACAATTATACACATTTTTGTTTCAAATTCTGAGTTCAAATCCTGAGATCAGAGACTGCTTTCTAAGGAGATCCAAGTTATCCTAACCTAGAAAATCTTGGAGAGTCCTAAAAAATCGATCCGAAGTTTCCAAAGTGGCTATAATAATGCTTCCTCGTGCTCCCTAATTCAAAATTTCTGAAAATTTAAAATTTCCTCAGCAGTACTACTCAATCTATGCTTTACGACTCACTTTTACCAAAAAGTTTGAGAACCACTGCTTCATAGTGAACCCCAAAAAACTTGCAAGCACTCAAACTTAGCTAGCAGACAAAAAAAAATGAAAATTTGCCTTCGATCAAAAATTATAAATCAATTAAAAGAGACATGCAGCAACTTGGAGACATTAAAAGATTATTTATATTTTTTTAACCAACAAAAAGTTTGTTCAGATCAGTGTTGTCCAAACTGTGTGCCGTAGTATTTTTTTGTAAATGACGCAAGCCGCATGCTGTGTGCGATTTTGGTAATGGCTTACCCCTAAGGTGTGCCGTGGCTCCAAAAAGTTTGGACAGCACTGATTTAGATTAAAATGTAATTATTAAGATGCCCGATTTCTATTTTGACCTTCTATTTAAGCCAATATTTAATTAATTAATTTAAACATCTTGTAAATCTGCAACACCGTATAGTAAATATACAATTTGTTGAAGCTTCGTTCACAACTCGAAAAATGGATGATCGTTTACTATAAATCTGATGTATTTTACGAATATTGATGTATATACTTTTCGCATTCGCATCAGCTAATGATGTCTGATATTGAAATAAACTTGATTTATGGGATATTTGAGAAATCTTTATTTTGTAAGCATTTTAAAGTGAGAAAGTGGCTGGCTGATTTTATCTTAATTTTCAATTTTTAAGTGAGAAATTTTAATTTTTTTGAGGATTTTCGTCATACTGAATATGGCAGTGGAATAATTAATTTTTTACTGATTTTTCGCTATAAAATCGTCGTTAATAATTTTTTGGAGTTAAAACGTAATAGATGGTCAAGGTTGTGGTGGAAGATCAAGCATTAATAGAAGCTACAATAAATAAATCGATAATCCAAAAATACACAAGGAGCTTATGCTTAAATAGTATTGCTTACACTATGTTTTCGAACATGATCTTTGCAGGGGCGTAGAAGTAATTTGAAGAGGGGGACAAAAAAAATTTATATGGTAAAGAGGGAAAAGAGGGAAAGGGGGGATTTTTATGATTTTTTCATAAAACTTTCAGCAAAATGAAGAAATTTCTGTTAACGTCGGAGGATATGTCCTTCAAATACCCCCCCTCCCCTGGTTACACGCCTGATTCTTGGGCAATTAGTCATTGTAGACGTATAGGAAGAGTGCATTGATTTATTACAATTTTAAGACAATTTAAAATGGATTTTTGATTGCACGCTGCTCAGTGACGTTCTTAAAAAGGGTTGGATCAATTTGTCACTCACTTGTCACTAGTTGATGTGTTTATTATGATGATCATTGAAACTGATAAACAATCCACAGCTTTATATCAATTTTAAATCAACTATCATCAAACAATTATCCAAAGTACACCTCATTATATTTAAAATAATGAACAATCACCTACCAAATTCCCAATAATATACAATTATCCAACCACACTTCTAATTTGCTCAAAAATCTTTTCAAATTACTCATTTCCTCGTCAATTCATTCAGAAAATTTCACACAGAGAGCAAAAAAAAGTGATAATTTGTATTTTGTGCGAAAAAAGAAGAAAATCAGAAGAAAAAAAAATAATTTTCATGAACTAACAAATCGCCTTAAAATACATAAAGAATGAATTGCGAAAAGGAAAAAGAGAGCGACGAAAAATGTGAGTGGGCATGGCGAGCAGAAAGAATCAGCACTGAAGGGGTTGTTCATGGATGATGCTTGATTTTTAAAGTCTAGAGTTGTGGGGCATTAAAATTGTATGAAAATTCATGAGAAATTTTGGAAACTCCATTTTTGTAGCTATTCGGAGCTAACCTGGTCAAATCAAATTAATTTTTGTTCATATCGCAAAATTATTGATTTTCGATTCTAAAGTCTAGAGAACCCCAAACAGCCCCTAAAACCATTTCTATAAAGATCCAACTCATTGACAGACATCACTTACAAACGATCGCCAGAGACAGATTTTTCAAAAAAGCTGAATGAAAACTTACTGCCTCCCCTCAAATGAAATCGATGCATCACATGATGTATGATGATTGTGAGAAATGATTTGAAATCTTTCAACAAAAATAAAAAAAATCTAATCCATCTGTGGTTTATTAACTCACCGAATTATCTGGAATAGAATGATCTATCGACACCTTCAATTGCTCGAGCTTTTGTTGCGGCTGTTCATTTTCCGCTATCGAAATCTGATGATTGTTATTGATATTTCTCAATTCACGATCACTACAACCACCGTAAACTATTGACTTTGTATCGTTCGTTCGATCGTTTATTGGATATTCATAAACTCTATTATTACTATTGGCACAAATATTCTTAGCACTTAAACAACTCTCCTGTCTCTTATTATAATTATTATTATTATTAATTCTATTAGAAATTTTTGGTATTCGATGTTTTCTCAAATTCTTCGAATTCTCATCGATCTCATCACTTGCAAATGATGTGCTGGACGAACGCGATACCGACTGTGATGATGAGTCAATAAAACTAAAATCATTATCATCTAGAAGATTATTCTTCCTCAAATTTTCATCATTAATTGGAGTCTCATTCACAGACGGTTCAAGATGTCGAATAATGACTCTTGTAACTTTTGTATCATCACTATTATTATTCACTAAATGCTGCGATGGAGGTGGCTTTGCCGCTAGAGCAACTACACTTTTCCCAATACAGTTTTGAGAATTCCTCAACGATTCCACTTGATTATTATTACTATCATTCACATATTTTAATTTGCATTTCTCATTTTTTGCGATGAATTTTGTACCGCGCTGTGCTGGTGCTTTCAATTGCCTGCTTTCATCGCGATTTATGAGAAATGTACTGAAATTACTATTTTTATCATTTTTCCTACTATTATTATTACTCTCACTAATACACGGATACACTGGACGATGATCGTCTGGCGATGCAGTTGCCAGAAATTCTGATTGTTGCTTGATAGAATTATTATTCAATGGTCTATTTTTATTGCCACCATTACACGCACTGCTGCTTATTAATGAGGTATTTTCAAATCTCTTTATCTTTTCCCTCAAAAAATATTCACGAGTCGCGCACTTCTTCCCGAAATCATTGCCATCATCATCATCATCATTGATATCGATGCTTTTATGATTATCATTATTTTTATCATTAAATGATGTTACTGCCGCGTTTGACGACGATGATGATGATGAAGAAGGTAGCACAAAATAATTTTTCTTCTCACTTTTCTGTTGTGGTTGTGCTGATCTATTTTTATTATTATTAAAATTTGCAAATTTTTTTGAATATTCACTAGGAACGGAATCACTTAAGGCACTATTTTGATTACTCTGATTATTCAGAGGCTTTTTAAGATATTGAAAATTTTCACAATTTTTATTTAAATTTCTCTTGTTGTTATTATTATTTATATTATTATTATTTATGTAGCTACTCCGCTCCGATATTTGCGATTGAGATCTATTATTATTGATATAATAACAGCATACGGTTGGCGATGCTTCTCGTTTAAAGTTTGACGATGATACTGATGATGAAATTTTCAATTGCTCAGATTTTTGCTGCTGCTGTTGTTGTTTCTGAGACGACGACGATGATGATGCTGATGAGGGAGATGATGTTATTCTATTCTTAGCTAGTAAAAGAGAAGAAATTATTTTTTTTGTGTATGTTTTTGAAAATTTTTATATAGATCTATACATTTTCTTCCTCTGTTGCTTCTTCTTATATCGTCTTTTTTTTATTGAGTATGTGGAGAGATCTTTTTCTCGTGTGTTTGTTTTGACTAGTGCCCTTTGGGATGTTTTGTGAAAAATTTTATTTTTTATTTGAAATTTTCAACTGAATTTTTAGATTTGAATTTTTTCCGAATTTATTGGAATTGAACTCGACTTTTATTGGAATTGAACTTGAACTTATTGGAATTAAACTAGGATTTATTGGAATTGAACTAGAAATTATTGGAATTGAACTCAAATTTATTGGAATTTAATTGGAATTGAACTAGGATTTATTGGAATTGAACTCGACTTTTATTGGAATTGAACTTGACTTTTATTGGAATTGAACTCATATATATTGGAATTGATATTAAATTTATTGGAATTATTGAACAAGGATTTATTAGAATTGAACTAGAACTTATTGGAATTAAACTAGGATTTATTGGAATTGAACTAGAACTTATTGGAATTGAACTTAAATTTATTGGAATTTAATTCGATTTTTATTGGAATTGAACTAGGATTTATTGGAATTGAACTAGAACTTATTGAAATTGAACTTAAATTTATTGGAATTTAATTCGATTTTTATTGGAATTGAACTAGGATTTATTGGAATTGGACTAGAACTTATCGGAATTGAACCAGAACTTATTGAAATTGATCTTAAATTTATTGGAATTGAACTAGGATTTATTGGAATTGAACTAGAACTTATTGGAATTGAACTCAAATTTATTGGAATTGGCCTCAAAGTTTTTGGAATTGAACTCGGATTTTTATAGGAATTGAAATCGAATTTTTTAGAATCTCAGTCAAATTTTTCAAAACTCACCCCTCGAACCTACAATATTTCACACAAAATCACCACAAAAGCAATGTGTCTGTTTTCCTCAAAGACAACGACGATTAAAAAGCGAATATAGTATACCCGAAGATGATGATGATCATCTTCCTTGCTTCAATGAAGAAAATTTTCTTTCCTCTTCACGCAAAAAGAAGAAAAAGGCTGAAAAAGAAAAAGTTTTCTTTCGAGAGAGAAAACTGAAAATTATCTCAGAGAAAGTCAGAATAGTAAAAAATAAGGTGATCATCATCAAAACGATGCGTCATAATATGGAAAGAAAATTTATCTGTTGCTATACATTCGCAAATATTAATTGCCTTACAATTGTGGCAGAGGAAAAGAAAGATGACAGCAGAGATATAAGATGATATAAAATAAAAATTTTCAGCTTAAAATTTCACACGGCATCTCAAGAATTTGAGGATGAAAAAGAATCTGAGACAAATTTGAAAGTTCATCTGTGTTTTATTTTATTTTTAAGCACATTTTTTATGAGTGTTAGCGAGTCAACAGATATAAAAATAAATATAGATGTTCATCTGGAAGTAGAATGTCAATAGCTTGACCGTGACAATTTTCTATTGTACGCAGTTTAGGTTTTGACGGCTCTGATTGAAGCTGATTCTTGAAATATTGATGATCAATTGCAGCAGAAAAATTGAAGAAAATTCCAACGAAAAATTCATAGGCGTGAATGATATCAATCCCCAATAAACTCAATGAGTCTAATTTTAATTATGTGCAAATTACGGAATTATCGCCTGATTAATAAAAAAAATTTGCAAGTTTTTCTAGAATTTCTTAGAATTTTTGCACAAATAAATGAATTTTTCCTATGAATGATGCAAGATATATAGATGAGCTCATACAGAGTATACTTGACCATACTCGACCATACTATTTTTTGTGTACTTATACAAACAAAAATTTTTAAAATTTTCTATTTTCAAGTTTTCATTTAAATATCGACAGATGCAACAATATTTGTCTTAAGTCAGTTTCTTTAAATTATAGCAAAGCATTTGCAATACTCCTGTATCAACAAAACTTAACAGAAAGTTGAAAATTTTGCAAAACAAAAATTGAAAATTTTCTTTTATAGTGTTAGTGTTTTTAGAAAATTCAAATTTTTGACGTTTAAAAACTGCGATATTTTTGTATGAGCACATCTATATATCTTGGAATGATGGAGGAACTAGTTATAATTAGTTGGAAATTAATAAAATGTCTTTCATAAAGGCACATAAAGTTGTTAAATCTAGAGTTATCCTTAAAAAATGTTCAGCTTACTTAATGTTAATTATGAACTAGTGACAGGAAACAAGTGACCAGTAAGCCAGACTAGGTATATAATCTGGATCTATAACTCCTTCAATAAATAAAAGTCATGAATTTGTGACCTTAAAAAATATACAAACCATTTAAATTCGTCATTGAATTGTCACAAAGCAACAGACCCCCTCTATTCTTCCCTCAAAGTTGAACATCATTTATGAACAACCCCAAACACCAATTTGGTTAATTTCTAAGAATTTATAGCAAATGATCCCTGACAGAAAAATGATGAAATATTTCATTGAATTTCTGAACAAAGTGTGAACTAAGCAATTAATCAGAATTGAAATTACGACTTCCGTTGACGCCTTGAATGCGGCATTCTTAGGAAAAAAGAAAATAATTGTCAAATTTATGATTTTCACACTTGCACATTGCATGTGCGTCAAGCAATGATCTGGCGACTTATAAGTGGAGTCAAGGATAAGTAATGGAAATTTCTTAGTGATGAGATGAAGTGTGAAGGCACAGAATTGTAAATAATCTCCAAAAAACACACATAACCTAACCTATTTTCAAGCTGGAAACTTAAAACCTCAATTTGTATATTAGCCACGCTCAACACAAATTCCAAAATAAATATAGAGCAATAGAATTTCAGCACAGCATACGCAAAAAAAATTCCATTTCAATGTTTACGGAAGAAATTGCTTTCATTTGTGGAATTTGCAAACTTGTTGAACTTATTTCTTTTTTCTCAGAAACAATTAACGATTTAAATGGAAATGAATAAGCTGCTTTCATCGTGAAATAATGGTGATTATTTGATGATTATTCAGGAGATGAGTTGTTACTGTTTCTGTTGTGTATTGAAGGAGGAAGAAGATTGATTATGTGATAGTAGGATGTAACATTAGTTTTGGATCTGAAAATCTCATTCAAGGCGTGGAAACTATCCCAAATATCATATTTATCCCACATATCCCAAAAATATTCAAAAAATTCCTGAGCATGTATGCACAATAATAAAGATATCCCAACGTATCCTTAGTGTATTGGACGTGTAATTTCAGGATATGATGAGATATCTCAATTCTAATGCATACAGGCCCAGGGATTATTTTGAATATTTTTGGGATATATGGGATAGATGGGATATTTGGGATAGTTTCTAGGAATTGATCTCATTAGTTTGATGAACATCATTTATGATCAACCTTTTATCCCTAAATAATCCACCAAAACAGCTCAAAAATTTAAATAAATAAGAAGCCATAATAAAAATAAAATAAATTCTTCAAATTGACATGATAACAAGAAGCTCATCAATGTTTTGTGGTCAAAATATTGAGATCTGTTCCTTCCACCTAGCAATAGCAGCAAAATATTCATTCAAATAAAAATAAATGAATGAAAATAAAAGAGAAAGGAGAAGAAGATTCAACTGACTCATTATTCTGTATTCATACATTCATTAGAGTCAGGAGCACACAAAAAATTCGCAGAAGTAAAAGATCTTTTTTTGAGGCAAATTCCCATGGGCATAGTCAAAAGTAGCAAAGCAATATTTATTTAAATTTTCACTAACCTGACGTTGTTGACAACTGTGCATTGCGGGAATAATTTTTACTAGAAATCGCATTAGAGCTCGTTGAACTGATACAGCAACAGCATCCATCGTTACAGAAATCACTCTTACCATTGATTGCAGAAACAGCAGCAGTGGCGGCTGTTGTTTCAGATGATGGTGACATGATTAATGATGTTGATGTGGATATTGGCATTGCAATATGTTGATGTTGTTTATTAGCTGATTGGTTGTCAACGTTCTTACCGTTATTATTATTTTTGTTATTCGTTGAAATCGCATTGAGCTTCGATAAGCGAATTCCATACCGTAATGCTCCCAATTTGATACATCCGGCTGGTGGAATCGATCTGATTTGAATGAGATAAAGTAAATATTTTAAAAAGTTTTTAATTTTTTGCAATTTTATTGTTTGAGGGGAATTTCCATTGTTTTGTTTTAAGACTTTGTGCTGGATTAAGGCATTTTGTTCAGGTTTCTATAGACTGTTCAAGCTAGTAATGTGACATTGCTAGACAATTTTTGATATCAAGTAAAATCTGACTTTTAGGATCTTCTGAGTTATATATCATTATAGTGACTACGATATAGAAGAAGGAGCTAGTTTCTGGAGTACATTCTTGAGTTATAAGCTATATACTGCCTAATCCTCAACATATAACCTAGTACAACAGAGCTACACTCAAGATACCACCTCATATATCCTCAAAAACAACAATTTAACCAACAATAAAATAGAATAAAACATAACAAGCACCACAAATCATCTCCACATGCTCAACGCTTTCATCTTCTCATTTTACAACGGCACAGAAAATGCGTACTAGAGGAAATTTAAATGCTGTAAATTTTTTTGATATTGAATAAAATTTTACAGTTAAAAAATATTACAAACCTGTTCCATTCCTCGACATTGTACTGTTCATCATATTGTTGTGTCTCTGTTGACATTTTCTAGTGACGTAACTTTATACTGCAAAGGTGCTCCATTTCTATCCTCATTTAATCAATATTGAAGGTTTATATATGCTCGATAGCTACTGAAAATACAGAGAAATTGAGAAGAAATGAATTATTTTTAACGCATGGCCGATTTGAACTTTTCAGTTTAAAAAAATTGAGAGAGAAAGAGAAGAAGAAAATTTTTTAAAATTTTAGATGCAGTTACGTTTAGTTTAAACTGATTTACATGTGTGGAATTAATTAAATTGGCTGTTGATGTTTATTAAATTTTTGAAATAATTTGATTTGACACGTGACAGTAGCTTTTGGTGACTATTGTTTGGGGAGCTTTTCAGAGAATATTTAACGACTTAGAAGCTATAGGTCACTATATGATTGTTTAAAGGGATGCTAGAGTTATGGTTTGGTTTATGCTGGTTAATTAACGCAGTCAGGAGTTCAAAGTTGTTGGATTTTTTTTCGAAGTAAAGCTAGATGCTAGCTTCTAATTCTTGTGAAACAAGCCCAGAACATTTATGAGAAAGAATCTAATAATTAAGGTAACCAAGACCCATTTGGTAGCTGATATTGCCAAGGTTCTCCGTGCTAATCGCTTGAGATGGGCTGGACATGCGTTCAGAGGCTCACAAGATGCTCCAGTACTAAAAGTGACAGTAGCAGACTTTATGGATGGCAAGAGATCATGAGGAAGACCGAAGATCTCGTGTATTGGATGTGTTGAAAAGGACGCTAGAGTCCTTAATATTCCGAACTGGCAGAAGGTTTCTAAGGATAGAGCTGTCTTCAGACGATCTCTAAGCGCGGCAATGGGCCCACGTGCGTCACAGCCTAGGAAGTAAGTAAGTAAGGCCCCTTTAATCATCTCAGCTACATTATCTCAATGAAATTAGAATGACAATGCATGAACAACAAGTCATTAGATTCCATAACAATTGACATCATTTGCAAAAATCCCACTGAAAACTATTAATCAAAATAAGTTCAAAGATCACAGAAGCGACCCAATGACATTCCATAAAACACTTCCATTCAAAACTGCATGTCTCCAGACAAAAAGACCATAAAAAAAATAAATAATTAAGCGCAAAATATAAAAAAAGCCCCGCATAAATTCCATTTCACGCGAGCACAGAAACAGACTTGAATACTTCTTCAATAAGCCACAAACAAACAATTATAAATAGTGATCATGAGATGACGGTGATGTTGCATTTTTTCATCTATTATTCACTCGATTTCAACCTTTTCTATCACATTTTATTCTCTTTATCTGACAAATAAGAGCCTCAATTTAATTTTCATCATCTTATCGCAATAATGCATCTCTTTACAAGTATCGTCTTAAGTATACAAATGGATTTACTGAAAGTAAACTGCTGATAGCTATGCATCTACGCTTCATTATTAAATGTTTATTTGTTTTTTTTTCTAGTTTTTTTTTTATTGTTTGATTGCATGCAGCAATAATCCACCTTTTATTATGTAGATTACATGACATTATATATCTATATGCTATACATTTTTGAGTGATTGATGAGATTTGATATCAAGTACAGCTTTAAGTCATTTCACGTTGTGTCATCAGCTGCTTTTTATTTCTTTTTTTTTTAATGATTTAATTTCAGACCAATTTTGCTGTCTGTCAATGAAAAGCGAAAACACACACAGCATGAGAATGAAGAGATAGAGGAAGAAGTAAGGAAGGCACTTGATGTTAGATTTTGATTTGAAGCAGCAATGTGTGTGCTTTGAAAAAAGGAAAAGGCTCAAAAAAAAAAGTTTGAACCGGAAAATTTTAATGGATTTACTAAAATAACCTAAGGTAGTTGACTATCTTTAACTTTGCTAGTTATTCGGATAAAATCCTTGATTTAAGCAGATTTAAGTAGCAACTTTGCCAAAATACATTATATATTATATAACACACGTGTGCAAATCGACTAGGCTCTCATTCTTATGAAATTCAAAAACCCTTCGAGCTTAGGTTCAAATCCTATCATTACATTCTTATAATCTTCAATATCTCTGCAAACCATTACAAAATCAGACAAAGTGACTCTAAACTTTAGCCACAATCCATAAATACAAGCTTCGTAAATTAATAGATTGATTAAAATGCGATTAGTTGTGACTACTTTTTAAGTGCTCCAATAATTTCTTCTTCTATAAATATTTAACATACAACAATGTCTATTCGCATGCCATTTCTCTTTCAATCTCTTCATCTTCTTGTCTTTCTTCTTCTTTTCATAAGAAGTAGTGTGATGATGAATTTTATGAGATATTAAGTGTAGTTTAAATTATTATAAGATGAAGAATAAGGAAGAAAATTGAGGCATTCTCGCCTACACGTTTTTTTCTTAATTTAATATGACAGATAAAATTATGTGCAAAAACATTAATTTCAAACTCTTGTTCAGACATGGTTGTACAACTTAGTGATGTTGATTTATTTTGAGTACATAAGACTATGAACATGCTTTGCTTTGATGACTTTATTAGATACAATGTATGTTGGAGGTGAAAATTGTTTTATTAATTTTGAAAATTAAGCAAAAGGAATTGTGAACCTGAGCAAATTTTTATGGAGCAACCTTGAAATATTTCAGAATAAATATTTTAAACAAATTCCATGATGTAGCAAATATTGGAGGAAGCTAGGCGTCTTCGATTTGATTTATATCTCGAAATAATCGATAATTCAAATTTGACTCATCAGATACAGTTACAATAATTTATGACTAGACTCTCTCTTGGTACTAGGAACTATATGTGAATTTTTAGTTCTGGACAGGCTCATTCTCATCTTGAGAAGCTTGCATTGAATAAACTTGAGAATCTTAAAGTAAAGCCACGTTCAGGATTGATCATATTACACAAAACCTAAGTTTTATCACCAAACCTCAAAGCTGACACTAACCTAAACTTATAAATCATAAACTTTTCTTTAACAATAAGAACCTCAAACCGCTTCAATCCATAACTCAAACCTTAATATCATCCAACAATAAATAACTCACAAAAGCTGTTGACATAAAGTGTGAAAAAAATTGTCAACATTAAAAAATCTTTTTGTTCCTTAATTGAAATTTATTTTCCTTACAAAAAACTTTTAACTTTTTTCTTACAATTTTTTTGTTTATAAAACAAAAAAAAAATACGTAAGCATTAAGAATACGAGAGGAAAATCTATAAAAAGATGTTAAAAGAGAAGAGTTTGCTAAAAATGTGATTTTAAAAATAAACACGTCGTGTAGTAAAAATAATTAAGACTATCGTCAGAAGGTCTTTTGTTGACTCTGCTTGGGAAGTGAAAGACTTTTAAAGTTTTAAAAATTTATTTTAAGGGCAGTTGGACTTAATTTTTTACAGAGCTCGAAGTCGACTCTAGATCTTCATCGATTTTTGTATGGCAGAGTCAAAAATACAAAATTTCATCGACCTCGAGCTCTCATTTTATGAGATTGCAGATCCTCAGTGTAGCAGTTACAAGCTGATTGCTTGATTAATCTCCAAATATTGACTATAGACGCTAGTTTCCCGCCAAAAATTCAAAATTCTTGCATGAATCCAAAAACTCCAAATTTGCAATCAAGCTTCACTAAAACAATCTTACTTACTCCCTTACCTTGCTGGTCGTACAGATCAATTGTGATCCATGACCTTTATGACATCCCCTAAACTAGCTCAATCGCTGGCTACCGTCTGCCAATTGCCGATTCCAAATGCAAAACTATCTTTATCATCAGCCGTTTCCCATGAGTTCTTTGGCCTTCCACGTGAACTCTTTCCATCAAAACAGCCTTAATCTACAAAAATACACAGTAGCTATCTATAGAACATCCCACCAGAACCCAACAAAGTCAATGCCCCCAACCGACTAAAAATAAAACTCATTTCCTTAATGAGAACATATGCTCCATAATGAGGACATGGTCTTTGAACTAGGACGAGCACCAGATATAGACTTGTGTTTTTATATTCCATGAAATATTTATTAACTCGACCTCAAACACATGTGCAAACTACTTAACAATAACTTACATGAGAAATAAAAACTTACAAAGTTAAAAAGAACGTCAAATTGTAAAACAAGTAGTAATAAAGTGAATGAGGAATGTACACCTGCTGAACATCATTTGAAATTTTTCATTCTGCACTCGGGTTTTTGTTTTCTTCTTTTTTTTCGTGCAAAATAAAAATGACGAGAAAATTCTGTTGGAATGAGTTTGTTGTTGCTGAGTGTAGATACAAGTGGAACTGATGTAGAAATCGAACCTAAATTAACACAAAAATCAGTTTGATCTCATAATTCAGCAGCTAATAACTCTCATGATGCCCAACTTAACCATAAAATAATGACACTGCCAAATTCCCCGTTAAGAAGCCACAAAGCTATCAACAATCATCAAAACCTTCAATTTTCACATTATCCGGCATATTTTGACATCTCGCTGGTAGCGGTGGCTCACTCAACCTGCCAAAACAGATTAAATACAATCATTTCCATTAAATGCGTTAAAAATGTTTCTTTTTCGCATTCATAACAAGATTAGCAACACTTTCATACCGAAAACATTTTGGTGTGCAAAAAATAATAAGAAATGTGGACATGATTAATTGAATATCTAATGAGAGACCATAAAGTCGCGTAATTAATCACTATTAACAAGTATCATGGATATAATTACATAATTTTCATCTCTTTAATGCGTTTTGACAATGACTTACTGACTAGCTTACTAGCTTACTGTTATTATACAATTTTCTATCTCCCTTCTACTTTTTCGAGGGATTTGTTCGAAAATGACATAGAAAATGGTGTGTCAGGGGAGTTGCGAAGGTTCTTAAGAGTTCTGCTTTCTAGAGATGCTGAGGAGCTTTTATGACTTATTTTGTGCATTTATAAAAGAAATTCCAACTCTAGGATGGCCCTTGTCATATGAACTTAGAGATATCCCTAAGCAGGGACGTAGCCAGGAATTTGA